GGGCCGGGTTGCGAGCGGAGCGCAACCGGGCGCAGCCGGGTTGCTCAGGCGCGCCCTCGTCCCGCGTGGGCGGCACGCGAGAGGCGCCGCTGCCCTGCGCGGGGCAGCGCGTGGGAAGCGGATGCTTCGCCGGCAGACGGTGGCGGAGCTGGGCAGCGCCAAGCTGTGTGGCGCTTGCCTGAAGACGCGGGGAACTGCTGCTGTTTTCTCTTTGCTTCAGGTAGAGTCAGCGTTTTTTTGACGGACTGGAACCTGGTGAGAAGGCGAAAGGTGCCTCGGCACACTGCAGATGCCTGCTAAAGTGGTCTATGTTTTCAACTCAGAAGTGATCTGAGTAGTTGTAGCTGTGAGAATGTATCTCTCTACCTTGAGCCCTTTTGTATGTTTATAGTTTTAGTGAGATAAATTTTAGGGAGAGGTCATCGGATTTCAGTCGAATCACTGTTCACTCATCACTCTCTGTACCAAGAATCCAGTGAAAGCAGCAAGCAAATTTCCTAAAGTTGCAAGGAGTGTGGAGGTACAGGTTTATTAGGCTATTTGATAACCTGACTGACTTGGTCAACTGGACTAATTTATATGTGATTAAAATATTATCACAAATCATAACTAAAGGGAAATATAAGTAAAGTTTTGATGCTTTGAAAGTCAGGCTCTGAACCAATGTTGCCCGTGTCATTTTGCTTGGCATAGGTCGTCTGTGTATCCAAAAACAAAGAATTCAATTGGGTTTTTCTTCTGTTCTTTTGCAAAGCTACATATAACTTGCACAAAGATCAAGTGAGAAAATTAACTGCTTAATCATACAATTCATGGTCGTGCTTGGCTGTAGGTTAGAGACTTCCTCCTACTCTGTGTTGTTTTAGGATTTTGAGGGGAGATTTGCATTAGCTACCCATCACTGTGAAAATATGTTGCCCTTATAAATTTATGGTTTGCATATTCAGAGTAAGTTATGTGAGTACTGACTCACAGGAGGGTCAGCTAAGGAGTAAGCAAAGTAACCTCATCACGGTGTGAGTTACAGAAAAGAACAGTTTAAAAATGAAAAGTGCTACGTTGCTATTGGTCCATTTTCCACTCTTTGTGTCTCAGGAGTTCAGAAACACTTTAATGAGACTGGTAAAATCAGGCTAGACCTGTGCCTGTTTTACTTTGAGGACACACAATACCAGTGGCAAATGTTGTAAAGAGGGATTTGAGGGGAAGAAAGAGATTATTTGTTAGGTATGTTTTCCCTTTTTTTTCATACTTCTGTGTAAGCATTTTTGTGGTGTTCGAAATCTACTTTGTGACAGTTTGAAATTACAGATTAGTGTACGCATAGCTGAATTTTATAGGTCACAAAAGGAACAAGTAAGCACAGCATGTTTTGAGTGGATAGTTTTGGATACTTGGACAGCTGCAAGAATTCAGCTTGGATATGAATTCTTGCTCATATTCTTTATGAAGGTCAATTTTCTGTTATGGCTATTTTCAGCTCCTTAGATGGGAGGGAACCCAGTCTCTCCTTTGACTGGGATCCTCCTAGTTTTAACCCCAGTGGAATGTGTGGCTCTTTCCTTTGGCACAGCATGCAGTCTTGTTCTTTCGTTTCTGTTCCTCATGAGTTCTTGTGTAAAAGTTACCTGTAGGGAAGAATTTCAGATCATGACAGTTTTAGCTGTGAAGGAGAGGACTGTAAAACTCTAATTTGCTTGCTGGGATGGTAATTATGCTTTCTTTGCAGGTGTCGGGTGACCAGATATGGTCTAACTGCTTTGTTCATGTATACTGAACTGTGTACCTGTTGTGTACATCTGATAAGTATTTCACATTTTCAGGAGAAGGTTTCTTTGCTCCTTGTCTTCTTATTGAATTACACTGTAAAAAGCACTGCTATTGCAGTGTATGGATTCCTCAGCTGGCAGCCTGCACTTTAGAGAAGTGTAGGTTTTCTCATTCGTTAATTCAGGGTTGGTCACCTCAGCCTTTGAGATGGTTTGTATTGCTATCTTTCTGCTTCCCAACCCTTTTTTGTCTATTATATAGTATTTCCTCAATGGGTGAGCATTTTCAAGTTGTCTTCAAGTTGTTTTCTGCAGTACCTGTGGGCGTGGAACGGGGTATTGCAATCTAAGAGACTTGCTTAATTTCTCTCTGCCATCTGTTTTGTGCTTAGGTGACTGTCAGCTGCAAACAACTTGTCGGATCCAGAAGTGCACCACTGATTTTGTATCCTTAACTTCACATCTAAACTCGGCTCTTCAGGGCTTCAATTTGGAGTTCTGCAAGGCCCTGCGAGCATACTCTGCCTGTACCTATCGCAATTCCAAAGTATGCCGTGGAAACCTGGTCTACCATTCTGCAGTGCTTGGGATTAGTGACCTCATGAGCCAGAGAAACTGTTCCAAAGATGGACCCACATCCTCCACCAACCCTGAAGTGACCCATGATCCATGCAATTACAGTGGCCACACAGAAGCCAGAGAACATCAGGGAAGGGAGAAAACTCCTCCTTCTACTTACCTATTTTGTGGCTTGTTTGGTGATCCTCATCTCAGGACTTTTAAGGATCACTTCCAGACATGCAAAGTGGAAGGTGCTTGGCCCCTCGTAGACAATAACTACTTATCGGTGCAAGTGACCAATGTGCCTGTGGTCCCAGGATCCAGTGCTACTGCTACAAATAAGGTATGGATTGTTCTTAAGCACTGTACATGCATAGGGAAGTAAAAGGCCAAGACAGTAGAGTAAGTCACTTAGTGCTTAAGAGTTAAGAAGTGTAGTAGCTTGAGAATCTTCCATGCAGTAGTCTAAGAAAGTAAAACTGTTAGCTTTTTCTTTTCTGAGAATCAAATAGAGCTTAAAACAGGTCCTTGTCTTCCTTGTGCTTCTCCTTACCACAATGAAACCCTGTACGTATCACCACATAAGCCTTTAATGATGCTAAATGTAATGCTTTAAAACCGTTACCAGATTGGAAGCATCTGTGACTGCCCCTGCACTAGGTAGAAATTCTAGGGAAGGAGCAAGAAAGGAGTATAAGTCGCTGCTTTTCATTAATTCTCCAAATTGCATAGCTATAACAGTAGAAAACAAAAAATATTGACAGAGTAACACAACAAATGAGTTACCAAGACACTGAGGGTTCAGAGCAGAGACAAGAAGGGCAATGGCAGGGAATTGAGAGGAGGTAACAAAAAAATTACATTGATGCTAAATCGTTGTCAGAAGGTCTTAGTACCCTGGCTTTTCTAAACAAGCAGCAGCGTGAAAATTCTGCTGAGAGTGTAAGTCCTTGTTCAGACAGACAAGACTTAAGATTGCTCTCCTCTCAGCCACTTAAGGTGGCTAGAGAAGGAATACATGGGCAAGTATTGAAATTGCCATTTCCTTACCTTATGAACAGTACTCGTCTCTTTCTGCTGAAGGCAGATAGCTAGTGTGTTTGTAGTAAGAAAACGAGGAGGTATAAAGTATGAGCCTGGCTGAGATATCCTCAGATTTACCTCCAGAGCCAGGGGGTGAAAAATATTCTGAACTTTTGGGGGTACCTTTCTATCAGTAAAAGAAATTGCTTGAACATACAATTGAAGCTGATGCTTGTTCTCTTTTTGAAGTGAAATGACCTTTTTTTAACTGTGGTAGTGTAGCTTTTCTGTTCTTAAAGTATGTCAGGCTACATGTACACAGTTTCAAGGCCATCAGTATTGGAGAATTTTCACTGTTTTGTTAAACTTGGAAGTAGATTTTATTACCAAGGTCAGGAGGAGGGAGTGCCAGTCACAGTAGGTTAGAGCCTGCACATCTATGGAGATGGCTGTGCAGCAATACTAATAAGTGAAAATCAATCTTGCTATTGCCTTCTTACCAGAGACTGAGGTACTGACTAATGTCAATGCTTGTATGAGTGAGGCAAATTTTTGCATTTCCCAGAGGTTGGACCGATACATCACTGAAATTCAGAATCATCTTTTCTTGACTTTTGCCTGTTCCAAGAACAGTCTGCATAATTTTAATGAGTTCTGAAGGAGTATAAAATGAGGGAATGAGGCTAACCTGAGTAAGCTTTGCCAAAGAGACTCAGGTCCCTTGAAGTAGCTTTTCTAAAGACTCTTACAAGAAAAAGCTGCATTTCATAATCTGCAGTAAGTTTTTATCCTCAGTTTTGCTAAGTCCTGCAGAATGTTCTTTATTTCCTTGTTCCTGCTACTACTGAAAGCAAGAGTTGAGAGTAGTCCTGTGTACAAATTGTGTGGGTGGCTAGGGTGTGATGGTAGTAGATAGGCGATTTTATCTTACCCTTTAGCTACATTCTAAAAATGATTAGCATGGTAGCATATTATACTGGAATATGTCTTCTCAAACAGATAACCAAGAGGAGAACTTCAGGAGATAAATTGTCTGTACATACTGTGGGAAGGTATGTGTTTTAAAGGGCATACTTTCTGTCTTTATTCTCAATATTTTTGTGTTTTTCTTTGACTTGTCATTATGGAGAAACTGGTAATACATTTTTCTCTTTTAATAATAGTGGTTTAACAGTCCTGCTGTTGCACAAATACAGCTAAGTGTCAATAAGAAATTAAATAAAGTAAGATACATAGTTTAGGATATTGGAAGTGTTTCTAATACTAATATCTGTTACATGTTGTACAGTCCTTGAGTTTTTTCTTTCTTTGGCAGATAATAAAACTTATCAGCACACCTTTTTGTTGGAAATGAAGGTTATTTGAATGCATATGTGACTTAGCAAGATAAGCTTTAATATATCTAATGCATCCTCTTGAGACCTTTATTTCTTTATGGAGCAGACTGCTGTAAAAGATGTAGAAAAGGCTTGTTAAACTATGCTGCCAATGCTAGTTTCATTCCTCTTAACATTTTTCTTTACAAGTATTCTATTTTGATTGTGGTGGTGGACTATGCTGCTGGGTGTACTTTCCTAATTTTGGCCTCAGGGTAGATTAAGACGCCTTTAAAGAGCTACCAAGAGAAGTTCAGTGACTTTCAGCTAGGGTAAAAATACTACATAGATAAGAGTATGCAAATAGGTCTTCTACCTTCTTCATAAGAAAAGTTCACGGGACATTATCCATCTTTCAGCTTTTTTATTGCAGATATTTGAGATAGATATTTAATGGGAAATAATAACAAAGTTTATGGTGAACTTTAGTTGTGCAGAAGCCAAAGCAAATGCCAATTTGCTAACTAGCCTACTTAATTGACTCTAAAGCAGAGCTAATGAAAGCAAGGACAAAAATAATAGAAAACTTTGTTTCTCCTGATTGCACTTTCTTAGGGGAAGTGATTTAAGAAGCTGTAGGAACAGAATATTTAATGTTCACCACATATGCACTGTGAGTTTTTGGAAAGGGGCATACCATCACTTGGCTTTATAGGTAGATACCTTCAAATTTTATCATAGTGTTGTGGTGCACCAAGCTTTAAGGGGATCAGCAATGAAGGGAGCATTATGTCTGAAGTAAGTTGTCTTCTCCCTCCAAAACCTATGAGACTTGAGTAACCCCAACAGCCTGAGGGCTATCTGGAAAGGTTATAAAAGACAAGAGAATGCCAGGAGGAGATTTTTAAAAAGCATGTGAAGATTAAAAGTATGTTTCCCTGCCCTGTCTGCCCATTACTGTGCATCTGGAAGGAAAATATGAAAAGCAGGAAAACGCTTCCTTTAGTTCCTTAATTGGAAGGGTACATCCTCTTGTGAGGGTTGTGTACTTATTCACAAAATGCTCTTGGCAATTTGTTCGTAGTGTTTTGCATATTTGTGATGCCCATAGTAACAACATCTGCTTCTTCACAGAGATCAAAGTTATTATATGTTCTGTGGTCTAGCTGAAACTTGAAACTCCGTTTTTTTTGAGCTTGTCTGTTGTGCTTATGCCCCTTGGCATAGGATCCTAGGGCCTTTCAGGTAGGAATGAAGGATCATCACCAAGTAGCTGGGAAGCTGAGTTCAATTTCTCGATTTTCTTCCTGACAGACTTCCTGTATGAGTTTTGAGTAGGTCACCGGCATCTTTGTCTGATTTCTCCAGCCATAGATAAAGAGCTCCCTTGTCTTTGGAGCTGTTTTGGGGTTTCCTGAGGATAAACAGCTATTACAGGGGGCTGTAGAGGGAATAGGTAGGAAGGGATATTGTAGATGCATTAAATAGAAGAGTGGGGTTTTTTTTATTTGTTGTGTGTTTTCTTTGGAGGGGTGCAAAGTCTTTATTGGCTTTCATTGCTGTGACAGGTGTTCTGGATATCACTAGTGTAGCTGTCCCTGAATAACAAATGAGGCAGAGATACTTGGGCTTGCCTACAGAAAACTTCCCTTCTTGTTTGTGGTAATAGGAAATGGTGTTTTTCCTATTCACGTGTTTTGTAGTGGATAGCTTGAGGGTGAGAGACTGAATGAAAGGACAGAGAAGGAAAAAAGCCACAGGGCTTTTACTGTAGTGGATTTACTGGGCATAAAGCTTTGAACCTGGGAATTGGTGCTAGTTGCAGGGTAGGGGAATGTTGGGTATGTGTTATTTTTCCCAGATTCAAAACATTTAAGTATCTCTTTTGCAACATGCTTTATGTTTTTGCAGAAAATAGTTGCAGACTGAAGACAGTGTACTTACTCTCCTTTAAGTAATGTGAAAGCATCTATCTTCAGTCACTGTTCAGTTGTTCTTCTAAGTATAAGCATCAGATAACGGATCATGTGATTAGTTTTTTCATCTTGATAGACATCCTGCCTGAGGTAAAGAAGAATTTGGTTTTATTTCTCAGAAGCATGCTACAGTTTTGTTGGAGGACATCCTAGAATCATAAAATCATTTAGGTTGAAAAAGACCTTTAAGATCAATGAGTCCAACTGTTAGTCTAACACTGCCGAGTCTCACTAAACCATGTCTCTAAGCACCACTTCTACATGTCTTTTAAACACCTCCAGGAATGGTGATTCAACTGCTTCCCTGGGCAGTCTGTTCCAATGCCTAGTAACCCTTTCAGTGAAGAAAAGAATGATATCCAATCTAAACCTCCCACTGGCATAACTTTTGGCTGTTTCCTCTTCTCCTGTCACTTTTTCCTCTTCTCCTGTCACTTTTTCCTCTTCTCCTGTCACTTTTTCCTCTTCTCCTGTCACTTTTTCCTCTTCTCCTGTCACTTTTTCCTCTTCTCCTGTCACTTTTTCCTCTTCTCCTGTCACTTTTTCCTCTTCTCCTGTCACTTTTTCCTCTTCTCCTGTCACTTTTTCCTCTTCTCCTGTCACTTCTTCCGTTCCAGGTAGCTGTAGAGAGTGCTAAGATCTCTCCTCAGCATCCATTTTTCCAGACTAAACAACTCCAGTTCTCTCAGCTGCTCCTCAAAAGGCTTGTTCTCCAGACCCTTCACCAGCTTCATTATCCTTCTTTGGAGATGCTCCAGCACCTCAGTGTCTTTCTTGTAGTGAGAGGCCCAAAACTGAACACAGTATTCAAGATGCAGGCTCACCAGTGCTGAGTACGGGGAGACGATCACTTCCTCAGTCCTGCTGGCCACCCAGGATGCTCTTGGCCTTCTTGGCCACCTGGGCACACTGCTGGCTTGTATTCAGATGGCTGTTGACCAACACTTCATGGTCTGTTTCTGCCAGGCAGCTTTCCAGCCTCTCTTCCCCAAGTTTATAGCGTTGCATGGGTTTGTTGTCACCCAAGTGCAGGACCCAACACTTAGCGGTGTTGAGTCTCATACAGTAGG